AGGAATCATCTAGATAATAGAGACCTCTGAAGCAATGAAGATCTTCAATTATACTGTAACTCTCCTAAAACAACATTGTAACTCCTATAGCATACACAAGCCTGACTAGAACAGAAGCAGACTAGCACTCAGTTATACAACAGAAACTTCTGGTGGCACTTCTACCACAGACTGGACTTCCTCCACTCAAATAAGATCTTTTAGAATGAATGCGTTTTACAAAAAATTCTGCCCTAACTTCTATGGTCCATAAGGCTTCATATTTACTAGAACTGTTGCAGTTCCGGTATAGGTAATGGAGATTTTCACCATTTACATGAAACCCGGCTCTGAGATCTGGTAGATGGACGAGACTGTAGACCTACCATTATGCAGACTGGCACACAGTGAAAAAATAAGAATTAAAACACAGTTATAAAATAAGAATTCAAACAGGAGACCACAATTACTTACACATCACATGCAGAACAGTGGTGACAGCGATCAGGTTTGATGAGTTGGCATCGATCACAATATCTGATGGCTGTGTTCAAATTTTAAAAGTCAATTTATTAAATAGTTCTTTGTAAAGGTAAATTACACACATCAAATTCTCTATTGTTTCATAGCAGAAATTCATCTTAAAAGAGATGGTCTCAAAAGACATCTCCTTCTCCCTTTGTTGGACCTGCCCACTCTGAATCGTATCAGATTGCTATGGCAACAACAGTCCAAAGGGGAAAAAAAAAATGTAATAGTAGACTTATCCATTGCAATATTTTATTCTTTTGTTTTTTGCTCAATGTGTTCTGTTCCCCCACTTCCATGATTCTCTAGCAGAGGGGTGCTCAACCACCAGCCTGTGGGCCAGACCTGGTTCACAGAGCCAAATTATCTAGTCCACCATGCTGCCCATGGGTCCAAAAATATGGCACAGGAAGTGGTGGCAGCATTAACTGCTATTTCTCTGCTGCCAGATTTCAGGATCCATGCCCCACCCCCGCCTCCCAAGAGCTGGATAGATGACCCGGCACTCTACATCAGGCACACAGGGCCCAATCCTGGTGCCAACACCACAAGTGATATGGCCCACAGACTGCCCCTGCACCACTCATCTGGCCCACAGGGCTGAAAGGTTGAGCTCCTCCTCTAGCACATGCTTCCCTGATGCTTGGTTTCTTCTTTTTTGGACACGTTACCAAGATACTTAGTCCCCATGCGGCTCTTGACATACTGCCCAACATTTTTATTCCTTTCTCCAGGGGCAGCCCATCTCTCTCTTTGAAGGTAAGCATTTTACTTTCCTACTCTCTAGTAGCCCTCTACTCAGATACTACAGCTGGCTTCTCCTCCTCTCCAGTTGTTTTTAAATAGGCTCTTCCCAATGAAAGCAGCTGGAAACAAGGAGGAAAACAGTGCTTCCTGAACTCAGATCCAAGTTAAAATGATGCATTTCTTCAAGGCAAAACTGAATATGACTTTCTACAGGAAATGTTAAAAGTTACAAAATGTTCTACCTAAATTAAATTTCAGATCCTTGGATAAACCTTCAATACTACTAGCTTTAGGGTACTGGAGTATTTATAAAAACTTAGCAGTAGTATATTCAGACATCAGAGGAAGTCATTCATATTCTTATGTTTTCAGAGAATCTAAACAATGATGTTTAATAATCACTCTTTATGATCCTTCAACTATTTTTGTATTTACTTTTCATATTAACTTTCCAAACAACTCTGTACAGAGAATTATGGTTCATAGTAGAAGCAGAATTCACTAATTCTTTAGCTTCTCTACTCCCAGATAAAACACTGTAGTGAAAATAAATACAAGCCTTAACTATGCTTTCTATAATTGGGATTGAATAAAAATAGAGATTAAAATTCAGCCTTCCCACCCTGTTTCTTTAATCTATTTAACATTATGGCAGGCAGACTGCAATGTAAATATTTTCATGATAAATTTGTTATTGAAGAAGGATGTTTTCAAGAAAATTATTCTATTTATTAAGATTCACAGACTAAGAACTCTGGCATCTCATCAGGAAATATGAAGTTATGGCCTTTCAGTATTTGTTTAGCAGATGGTTGACACAGCATCAATAAGTTTTATTGAATTGGATTCACAATTTTTTGTGCACCTCACCCCTTGATGCTGTTGTGGTATAGATAGGCAAGTCTTTAGCAGCTTTTCGCAAAATTTCTTGCTGGGATTCTGGTCTCTCTTCTCTTTCATATTGTTCTTTATCAGCTTTTGACAAACAAAACTGCAAACAAACAAAAAAAAGGATGAAGATTTGTTTTGATTTTAATCTCACAGCTAAAATATACATTTTAAATGCTTCACCTTTAACGAGGCAGTAACATCTGCTTATAATGTTCCCAAACATGGTGTTATGGGTAGTAAGTAATATAAGGTCAAACAAGAATCATATTCCACATATTCTGAAAATACATGGATTGGCTCTGTGTACCTGAGCTTTTATAATGTTTGAATTTTCCCTAGTTACAGCTACTCAATTTCCCTTTGCAAAGAAGAAAGTACATGACTTCATCCTGTACTAGATGGGAGTTTTATAAAACCATACATTTAATCTCTTCCCAGTGATGTTTATGAATCTCTCACTTCAGAGGGCTTTGCAAGAACTACTTGCTGCTGCAAAGAGGAGTCAGGCTCCATGGCTGCTGTGCCATCTCTAACCTGCTGGGGGAGAAGGTCCAGAAGGAATAAGAAACATTTTCTAAAAGTTGGGAAAGACGCTTATATTTTCATAGCTGCAACTCAGCTGAATGGATATGGCTGGCACATATAATAAGACCAGTGATGGTCTCAAGCTCCATCAGCTAATACCAAGGGATTGACTTCAGTGACGTCTCAACATAGCTCTTAGGAAGAATTACAAAGCTTGCATAAAGTAAAAAAAAAAAAGAGCCATACTTAAAGCCTCACTGAATTTACCAGAATTTACAGAATTTACCAGCTTTACCAGAATAAATCTGGAGAATTTGTAATCACTTATGAAACAGACTTTTTAACACACGCTAATATTATACATTTCAACACTATGTCCCATGGTGTTCAAATCAGGTCCAACAGGGCGATTGGTGGCCCACAATGTTCTTTGTTCCGAATTGTGCAACATCCTTCTAAACTTTGAGCTTCTGGCAAGAACCACCTGAAGGCAGTCTTGTTTTGGCTGTGTGCACTCACTGTTAAAATACCCTCATGTCCATACAGCAAAGGAAAGATACTGTCTTGGAAGCACTGACAGTTTTGATCATTTTAGCCACTTTACCTCCAATTATCTCTGAATGATTAGTTTGTATGCATTTTCCTGCAATTCTCCATTTTCTTTGGAGTCTCAGTGGTTGGCTAGGTAATAGTGGGGTCAAATGGAGGTAATTTCACTTTTCTTTTTACCATAGGGAGAGGAAGACATTCTTGTTGCCTTCTTGTATTACTCCTTAAACTCTGAAAACTGAAGTTTCAAAATATGTTTCATAACTGTGGTCTCTCTGGACATAACCCATTATGTTCATAGGCATCCAAAGTTACAGATCAACAAAATGCTATCTACATTCCACACAAGGTTCCAGTAACTCTCAATGAAACTAGTAACAGAAAGAGTCCCTTTGTTTCCTATCCTTAGAATCTCACATAATGTTGACCGTTCTTCCTTATTACAACTGTGTACGGATTTACAGTAGGACAAGAACAGCGGTGAGCTTTTTTTTTTTTAGTACAGTAGTAAGATTACAGGATGCCACTTATTTTACAAGAATGGGTAATTTAAATGACCAAAATGCATATATGCGAATTCTTATGCAATGGAAAAACATTAAATCAGATTTGAAACAGCTCAGAGAATGTTATATGCCCTCTTACATGAACGTAAGTGACAGACAGAGGCAGAGAGAAGACTGTGGAGGAAGCTGGCTTTCCAGTAAAAGTCATGCATAAAAACATAGGTATAACTTACAACTGAGACCTAATTTTTCCTCAATTAAAATTGGCAAGGTCTCTCTTAATTGCATGCCTCTAGAAGTTGAGACTTCATTGCCACTTATACTGCAGTTAGTTAGAACATAGGTGCCAGTAGGCAGAAGGTTTCTATTAGGGCTATGCAAAACAGCCCTACCGTTTCATTTCGACTTTTGTTTTGCCGTTTCAAAGGGACAGTGTTTCACTGTTTCAAAGCACTGTTCCGTTTCATTTCGTCAAAACTGTTTTGATGCATTTCGCCTATAGGCTAGAATGGGGAAATCACAAAAATGCCTAACTTTGTCATTTCTTGCCTGGTTCAGAGGAAAATTGCAGAATTCATGCCTCTTTTAAGGGCACGAAGCCTGCCAAGTTTCAAGGAGACAGGTGCAGGGGTTTCTGCATCTCAAACTGTTCAAGGCAAAACTTGTATTGCTTGCCGGCAGCACCAGCATGCTGTCTTCCCACACGCAGATCCGGGGGCCCACTCCTCCTGGGAGGAGTCTGGCACAGCCCCGCAGCCCTCCCACGGGGCACAAGCCCCCAGATCTGCGTGCGGGATGACAGCAGGCTGCCACTGCCAGTTGGGGCCAGTGCCAGCACTGGGTTTTTCCCAGTGCTCGGCATAGGCTGCACCAGGCAGACTTGAGTGCTGGCACTGGCTCATGCTGGCAGCGGCAGCATGCTGTCTTCCAAATGCTCCATAGCTGGTGAGTGTGGGGCTTTAAAAAAAGCCCCACACTCACCAACTCTGGCAGTGGTGATTGGGGCCTCTAGGCACTTGTGGCAGAACCTCCCTGCACAGCACGGGGATCACCCTCCTGCCCCCCTGCATGGCAGCTTCCCCATGGCACGGGTGCAGCGTGGCTCAGCAGGGTGCTGCGCACTGTCGTGGAGCTGAAGCAGATCCTTCTGTCAGCTGGAGCTCCCAGTTTGTTTCTCCAGCACTCTGATCATTCCCCCAGCTCTTCCCCCGGGGGGGGGGCAGGGTGGGGCATGGGCCCCCAGATCTGCAGGCAGGGTTGCAGCAGCTCACCAACTCTGGCAGTGGTGATTGGGGCCTCTAGGCACTTGTGGCAGAACCTCCCTGCACAGCACGGGGATCACCCTCCTGCCCCCCTGCATGGCAGCTTCCCCATGGCACGGGTGCAGCGTGGCTCAGCAGGGTGCTGCGCACTGTCGTGGAGCTGAAGCAGATCCTTCTGTCAGCTGGAGCTCCCAGTTTGTTTCTCCAGCACTCTGATCATTCCCCCAGCTCTTCCCCCGGGGGGGGGCAGGGTGGGGCATGGGCCCCCAGATCTGCAGGCAGGGTTGCAGCAGGCTGCCACCTGGGGAAATAGCCCAGAGCTGCCACCATCCCCAGCTGGCAGCAGCAGCCTGCTGTTATCCCGCATCATCTGGGGGCCCATGCCCTGCAGGAATAGCTGGGGGAAAGATTGGGAAGCTAGGGAATCAAACTGGGGGAATGGTCAGGGACCTAAACTCCCGCAGCCCCCGGCTCAATTCCCCAGCTCTCTGATGGTTTTCCCCAGCTTTTCCGGGGGGGGGGG